GGATTTAGCTCCTCAGTAAGTCCTCAGAATTCAGAATGTGAACTGACTAATTAGCTGCACAAAGCATGGAAGTGAACACACCATTCAAGGTCAGATTCTTCCAAGAAGGCAGAGGCGGGCACTTTCACTGGCTTCCAGCCTCATTTTATCAGTTGAGTTTTCCTTTATCCTTGCTCTCAAAAACATACTCATATCCACTGCCTCAATCAGCAAGGAAGAGAAAGCCACTTATCTACTCTCTTCTTCCACAAACTGTACTGAGACAAAGACTCTGAAACACTCCCAAGGCGAAGAAAGATGGGAAGAACCAAATGAAGCTACCTTAGACACGAAAAGGGTCCTCTGGCAGGATGTCTGGAGGGAAGGCCGAGGGCAGAAGAGTGACATTCCGCACCAGGGTGGAGGCATCCTTCTTCCCTCCCTTGGATAAAACTCTAGAGGCAGTGGTGACAGGAAGAATGAAATGATATAAAAGGGGTGGGAATAACTCTACAGAAAACATGCCTGGTTCTCAGCCTGGAGCTTTAAAAAAGTTTAGATTATAAAATGTGCAATATCAAAATCCACTGTGGTGGTACCCACCTATACTCCTAACATTTGGGAGGTGGAGACAGGAAGGTGGTGAGTTTGAGTCCAGCCTGGGTTATACAGATATCCTGTTTGAAAATACTAAGAGTTGGGGGTGTAGCTCAGTAGTATAGTGCTTACCTAGCTCTCGTAAGACCTTGGGTTTGACCCACAACAGACAAAAAGAGAAAAGGAATGGAATCACAGCTGTGGCTCGGTCATTTTACTCATAGACTCTCACTAGCTGAGCCCTGCCCAGTTTATTTAAACATCCTATTAAAGGAGATCTGGTAGTTTTCAGTTTGGGACCTTCCAAAGGAAAATGTTATCCATACTTGTATTCTACTTCTCTACTACACAGGGTTTCTCTGCAGGTACTCTGCAAGGAGCTGAATAGCTAGGCCATTGGTAGTATCAACCTTTTTCTTAGACAGGGTACCATTATGTCACCCAGGATGGCCTGTAATTTAATAATTCTCCGGCCTCAGTCTCATGCATATGGGGATTACAGCCATGGACCATTATGCCCATCTTCTAACTTCAGTTTTTTTTTTTCTGAGATAGGGTCTCCCTATGTAGCCATGGTGGCATGAAACTTGCAGTGTAGACCAGGCTGGCCTCCAAGTCTCAGTGATCCGCCTGCCTCCAATTCCCAAATACTGGCACTAAAAGCGTACGCCACCACATCTGGACCCTGTAGAGTAAGTCTACACATCTTGCTTTAATCTGGCTATTCTTGGTTCTTTGGTCTTTCATATAAATTTTTAGAATTACTTTAGTCAGATCTTATTCCAAAATCTGTTGGAATTCTCATTGGAATTGGATTAAATTTACAAATCAATAGGAAAAGCCAAGAGCTGTGTCTTTAGAATTCTATTGATCTAGGCCTGAATGCAGTACTTTTCTCTCAAGTCACTCAGATCCACTCTGGCTTTCAATAAAATTTTCTTCATAGTCTGATATCCTCTTTGCTACATATACATGCATATCTTTCTACTAACTTCGTATATTACAGTCTTACTATAATTAGTATTTTTTTGTTCATTAATGTAGAGAAATGCAACTGACTTTAGTACTTCATATTCTATGAACTTGCTAACTACCTCTAATTTGAGATTCTATATTGATAATTATAACACAACGGGACTTCTCATTTTTCTTTTACTCTCTCTGTACCTTTTGTTTCTTCTCCTTGTCTTATAGAAGGGCTGGAATTTCTGGCATAGTTTGAATAGGATCTATGGTAGTTCTTGTCTCTACCGTTAAAAGAAATGCATCTTTAAAGTTGACTGTTGCTATAAAGTTTCCTGTAGATACCCTTATCAGCTAACAAAGGCTTTTCCAGCAACGTGTTTACTGTGTGCTCATGTGCCTGCATGCCTGTGCGTGTGTGTGTGCGCGCGCGCGCGTGTGTTTGTTTGTGTGTGTGTGTGTGTGTGTGTGTGTGTGTGTGCGCGTGTGTGTGTGTGCGTGCGTGTGTGTGTGTGTGTGTGTGTGTGTGTGTGTGTGTGTGTATGCATCTATGCAAGTACTGATGCCTGTGCATGTGTGTGGGGAAGCCAGAGATCAACAGCAGCTGCCTTCCTCAACTGCTCGCCACATTGTTCTTTAAGAGAATCTCTCAATGAACCTAAAGTTCACGGACAAGCTTCTCAGCATCCAACTCCACACCCCTGCCAGCTTAGACCTGGATGCTGGGGATCCAAATTCAGGTCCTCATGCTTGCACAGCAGGTGCTTTCCCATAGGCCATTCCCCCAACCCTTCAGCAACATTTCCCCCCAGTGCTGAGGGCTGAACCCGGGACCTCTTGCCTGTTAGACAAGCCGTCTTTCCATTGATCTACATCCCCAACAAGGAAAGCATTTCCTACCATCAGTTTACAAAATCCTTTTGTCATAATTAGAAGCTGGATGGGAAGCAAAGGCTCTTTCTATATCTATTGCTATAAAAATACTTCATTTCTAGTCTGTGAAGACAGAATACATATTTTTCTGATGCTGACAAAAACCTTGCTTTCCTAGAATAAAACCCGAAAGTCAAGATTTTCACTGGGAAAGTCAGCAGTGAAGTAATACAAAAATAAAAGCCGTCAACTTTCTGTTGCACGGTGCTAATCTTGTTTACCTCAAACCCTGTCTCCTTCACAGTGCCATCCCTGATTCAAGCATCTGCGCTCTCAGAGCATTTATTATTGATAATGTGTATTTGATACTTGGCATGTGCTTGCTATTCTATACATTCCCTACCTCCCAACTAAAATATATGCCCTTTAAAGAGCAGCAAACTATTAAGTATGCAATAAATCCTTGCTTAAAGTACTTAAAATATCCTTGAAGAGAGGCTAAGTCTCCGGCCAGTTTTAATATCTTAAACTCACTGAAACTTTAAAATCAGTCTAAATTATCTTTATGTACTTCCCTGATTTGTTAATCAAACATTGTAACCATGCTTTATGCATCTCTTGATACTAAGGGGAACTTAACTATGTCTGGTTGAGGACAGCCTACCACTAAGCCTATCAGTTGTGGAAGTGTGACAGAGATACAACTGTAGTGTGCAGAACCTCAGCTATGAGCCTGAATAAGGCTTCAAACCAAGTGGGGAGGGGTGTTTTCCCTTCTAGTTACTTTTTAGCACGTTTCCTCTTCTACTCTCCATACTCCAGAATAAAAAAAAAATTTAAAAAGCTCTGTAGTACTGGCAAGTTTTTAGCAACGATACTATACAAAGTTACTATTTGCCCAGATTGCAGCTCTCTGGCTAGTTTTTCTACTGTGGAACTTTTTCTTTGTAACTCCTCTGCGCTGACCTCACCACCTCCTCTAATCTCTAGAAGGGACACAGGAGCAGCTAAAAGCTGACTACTGGAGCCAAGCTGCCTGGATTCAAACCCCAGTTTGTCATTTAAGAATTGAAATTCCTAATAACAGGTTAATTGGTCTAACCCTCAATTTCTTCATCTGCCTCACGAGAATATGCATGTATCTCACCTCATGGGTGGGCAAGAAGTAAACGAGTTAGCGCCGGCAAAGTGCTTAGAACACAGCCTACAGCTAGTATTAAGTGGATGGATAAAACACTATCAATTTCAAGTCCATCACTCTCCTCTCTCTCCCCTGTAAAAATGCTTCGGCACTTCTCACCACTTACGGATTGTGGTTGTTCTGCGGATGAGGGTGTGGGGGTGCTCCGGGGTGGAAGGAGGTGTGGACACTGGAAAGAAATGACAGCACTCTTTCCATTGATCCATCATACATCCACTACTCAGGAAGAGGAAAAGCCACGGGGAGTGCCGGAGCTAGTCACCACTGCTCCACTAATCACAGGATGCAGGGAGGAAAAGAGGGGCATTTACTTAATTAGCATTACAAGAACCTAGGGGACACATATAACTACAATTTTCAAATATTTTCAGGACAGGGCTGGAACATTTCAACGTCTGTGGCAATAGTGACAACTCCCCTTCACTAAAAGCGTTTATGTAAGGCATTGGCGGCCAGGTGTTGAGGTTATTGTAAGAAATGATTTTTTAATTTAGAGTCAGATAATTTAAGATTCTTTCTACCTCTAAAATCTTGGTAATCCTGGCATGAGTCACCAAGATGTTACAGCTTAGGATGAGTCACACATCGCCAACGCACCGCCAAAGACAAAATTCTTCCCTTGGTGTTTGGCATAGTACCACAGCTGTAGGTGAGGAATTCTAGCCCTCGGGTTATATATACCTCAGCTCAGAGAAACAAAACTTTTTTTTTTTTAATTAAGCACATCACTTAGCTGATTCTAGACTTCTTTTATAACCCACAAATATAATAATGCACTAATCCCAACTGAGACCTGGCCAAAGCGTGTGCATCGGGACTAAGCCTCAAGCATTACTTCCCGTCAGTCTGCAGAGTCCAGGTAGACAGAGGTGGGCAGGCAAGTGGCAGGGAGGGACAAGACAGGTGGCCAGAGTGGGTGGGAGTTGGGCGAGCCCACATATGGCCCAGGGAACGGGACAAAGGCCTTGGAGAACATGCCGGAGTGGGAGGCAAACTGGAGTGCCCCAGCCTGCGTCCAACGCCCGGGTCTGGCCTGGGATGCGGACAGCGGCGGCGGCGGACTGCGCAGCTGCAGCCGCCGCGGCTCTAGAAGCCAGGGGACCCCGCAGGGATCCCACCGTCCCGCCGCTGGGCCTCCCTGGGCAGAAGCCGCAGCGCCAGGCGAGTCGGGCCACCTAGGCCGGACAAGGCACCTGCTGGGTTCGGGCGCCTCACCGCGCGCCCAGGAGCGGCCGCCCCGCCCCGGGCCCCCACGCCAGTCCCGCCGCGCCGTCGCCGCGCTCACGGAATGCGGGACAGCGCCGCCTCCCGCCCCGCCATGCCGGGCCAGGGAAAAGCGGCAGCCGCCATCGCGGGCCGCGCACACGGGGACTCGGGGCCGCAGTACCTGAGAAACCAGGGGCAGCAGCGTCTGCTCCACCGAGCGCGTTCTGATCTCCAGTCCCGAGTCGAAGGCGAAGCCAGACGTGTTGCAGGAGTGGACAGCTCCCGCACCGCCGCCGCCACCAGAGCCCGGAGAAGCGGCCATAGCCCTCCACCGGTCGTACAGCCCGCTCTCCGCACCAGTGCGGGCCCGCCAACCAGCCCGTCGGTCGCCTGCCGCCTCGCGGCACCGAGGCCCCACCCCTAGCCCTGTGCCACCGCCTCGGCCCCGCCTCCACGCGACCCCGGGCCCGGTAGCCCCGCCCCCAGGCGGGCACCACCGCCTCGGTCCCGCCCCCGAGCCCCACCCCAGCCTAGCTAGTTCCGCCCCAGCCACGCCCCCCCTCGGCCCTTCCCACCTGCCCCCATAGTCTGGAGCGCAGCCGTTGGGGTTCATCAGCTCCGCCTCTAGGGCGGCACGCCCCCACTAGCCCCACCCCAATCCATGGAAGCCCCACCCACCCGCTATTGCCCCACCCCTCGAGCTCCATCTCTGCAGGCCCGCCCCCTGGGCCGCACCAGTGTCTCTTTCCTCTGTGTTGTGTTCCAAAGCGTATTTTACCTAAAGCAGGAGAAACAAGACACCTGAGGGACTCCCTATGTTCACGTAGCCTCTTACCAGAAGACAACTGTCCCCAGCAAAGCTTCTCACCAAATCCATATGCCTGTATTCTCATAAATTATTTCTACATGCTTTGATGGGGTTGAAAATGGTAGGAAACCTCTGCCCTGAGATGGCAATTATAATTATCTTTCCATGGCTTCCCAGGAAGGTCCACCCCATTTCCCCTTCACTCCTATTTTCTGATTACATATCTCTTACAAGGAGTTGAAACATTTGATATAATACATTCACATAAGTTATCAAGGCAGTGGATCTTGCAGGCAGTATCTTTAGAATTCACCTTCAAGAGAATTAAAAACAAAAGTGTGCACTGATAAATACTGTATCTTTTAAAAATGTCTTCTTAGAATTTTTAATATTAGCCAAGAAATAGCAGCATGTTAACTGCTCCTTGAATGAAAAGATTCTATTTCTGACTGAAGTCACTTAAGGTTAAGAATCCATTCTCTCAGCCCAACCATGAGCTCACACAGAATCCCTGTGATGAGGGAGTGCCAACACTCCTTTTCCTCCGGTTTCCAGGAATAAAGCCAAGGAAGGCTTTTAGAAGCCTGCACCTTAGGAAGGATTCTAAACTTAAGCAACTGACTGAGAAGCATAAGAAAGTATTTTTGAAGGACCATAGCTACTAATGCGCATCTGTGGGGCAAAAAGGAATCTGAGACTGGCTTTCCCCATCAAGTTAGACTGAAGGGGCTCAACTTGCAGTGTTTGAAGGCAAAGTTGCAGGGCTTCATCTGCCAAAGCAGCACAGGCATCCGGTAATGGAGACAGCAAAACTTAGGCTGTTCTTCACAAAAGAAGAGCTCCTGAATTCAACTCGTCTTCCAGTTCTTTTCTTTTAAATTGTGTTTGTATGTCAGAATGTGCATGTGAGTGCAGTACTTGGAGGGGCAGAGGCATCAGATCCCCTGGAGCTGGAGCTACAGGTGGTTACCAGCTGCCCAATAAGAGTGTGAGGAATCCAACTCGGGTCCTCTGGAAGAGCAGTATCTACCCTTAACTCCTCAGCCCCCTCTCCAGGTCCCTGTCTTCCCATTTTTACCTTCAACCACCATCCTCACACTTAATCTACAAAGCTGCCTCTCTCCAATGTACTGAGGACTTCTGCCTCAGCTATGAACCCTGTGGCCTCTTTAAGGTGCAAACATCTACTCCCAGACAGTTTCCCTCACCTAAGATGACCAAATTTCATAAAAATACTGGCACCAGTATCTATACTGGCGCCAAAGGTAGGATATGCAGGGAGAGTCTGGATAAAGATCAGATTTCTCAAAAAATAAGAGGCTAAGTTTATCACCCGTTTCATCCAACATTTGTGACTTTATTTCAAAATATAAATATTTTACATTTTACAAAGATGTTGTTACATCAGTAAGTTGTGAAAGCAAATTAAAGCTAAGAAACAGCATCTGTGTAATAAAGGATATTTATTGTTGCATTTGAATGCTATTTTTCCTGTCAAACCATTTTTCTCCTTCACCTGAGAATGCAGAGGTGATACATTTTCAGAGTTAAATAATTACCATGATATGTTCCATCTTGGTTTCACAATCAAACAGTATTTGAAGTACAAACCAAGTACCTGAACAAGGAGCAAGGACTGCAAGGACAAAGAAGGGTTTTCTCTAGGACAGCTACGGTAAGAGTTACACTTCTGGGTCACTCCAATGAAAGAGAATTTGTACTTCACAATAAGCAAAACCATGGTTAGATCTGTCTCCATACCTTCATCATATACATAAAGCTAGAAGGAAAGACCAGTATCAAGAACTTTGGACTTGGAGTCAGAGATTCTGCAACCAAATTCTGGCTCCATCCTTTCGTGGAGGAAACATAGGAAACATGATCTAAACATAGGAGAGAGGAGAGCAGGAGAAGGGAGAAGAGAATGAGTCAACAACAACAAACTTCTCCAGTGCCTCGTCTGTACAATGACTGTAACACTATAGCTCACAGGGTTGAACCCAAAGGTGCCTGAAAATATAAAGTGCCATACAAAAGCCTGCTAAGATGCAGTATCAACGCCACCAGTGTATTTGCACATTAAGTGATTCTTGGATAACTTGGATACTGATCCTGTGTGCCACAGGTGGGAAAGGACGTCCTCCCGGTAAGCACAGCTCTGGGCAACAATGTGCCTTCTTTCTGGTGTCTCACCAGACTGCTGGACTTGTTGCCATCCCCCGGTACCACAATAACACATGCACCGCCAGTATTCTCACTAGCAATTGTCTTCTACAAGACCTGTACACTTGATCAGAAGCTCAAAAGAACCCCGGGTCTTTTGAGATGCTCAGAGAGGGGGTTGGGGAAGAGGGATAGGGGACAACATACAGTGAAACACTCTGTCCCTCCTAAGTTCACAATGTGTCATGGCATAATAAACACTCCAACATCTCAGGGAAAGGAAATACCTTAGCATTCCTCAATTTTAATTGACCATAGAATCTCCCCACCCCAGCAGTTTTTCTCTTACAACTCCATTAATTCTGCAAACAACTGCTATTATAGAACTTTCTCCTCTTTTTTGACAAACGTGGTTGAGCTATGAGGAAAAGGGAAGAGAAGCAGAAGGCGGGCTGAGAGGGAGAGGATCTGTACTCCACTCTGACTTCTGTTGTTAACTGGCTCTGTTACATAGGCTACTTTACTCATAAATTTGTTTCCTTCTCTAAAACAACCACATCATCTTATTACAAAAGCCCATTCAAGCACCAAACTTCTGTGACAGGTAAGAAGAATCTTCATCTGCAATTCTCTCGTGCATTTTTAAGTTATCAAGAAAGCTGCTTAGTGGCTTCAGATAGGTGTTTTTCCCAGACCTTAGAGAGTTAACGAAATGAACACATTTGATGGCAAGATTAGCAAATACAAAAAGCTGATAGTAAATAAATAAATAATAGTTGTTCTTTGCAGGAACAAGAATTTGGAAGGTATGCTGCAATATGCAATTTTCACTGTGAAAGGGGCACTCAAAGTCCCACTGTGATACTCTTGGAAAGGCTGTGGGAGACCCTCAGAAGATACTGACTGGAAGGTTAGGACTGAGTACGGGAAGTCCTGAGGGCATTTTCCCATCAACTAGGTTAAAATCTCTTGATAGTCACCTAAATGAATGTATTCTAGTCTAAGCCCAGTTGGCCTTGAACTCTCAGCACTGCTTGCCACACTTCTGAAACAGGTACCTAACCCCAGTGGGAAATGGAGGAATGCAGAAATCCTGAGAAAGCATGGTGAGTTCTTCTGAAGGCCAAGGTTAGCTAGAAGACTGGCCCTGCGCTGCTTTACTGCCTGTACTCTGGTACAAGCAGCTGCCATCCCTAAAGTCAGAGTTTGGACACAGGGTCTCAACATAACACATCTTGGGCACCTTTCCACAGTCAAGAGTCAACACAGACTTCATCTCAGAGTCCAAAGGAAAGCAGCCAGTTCCTGAAGAAGGATTAGGAGACTCGCAGTTTTAATAATATCTAACACTGGTAGCCAAAGGGGCCATAGATCATGTCTAAATATAAGAGTGTGGGATTCAGGCAGGACATACATAACATGGAATTTATGCTTCCAGCCCTGCACCTGTTCTCTCTTAGCAAAAGCAGGAGCAGAGGGGTGCACAAAGCTTTTCAGCTCCCCTTGTACCCATTCAGTTTAAAACTGTCAGGGAAGGAAACTTGAAACTAACCCTTTATGTTTTTTTATATTCCACAATGCTAAGGCAGATCTCTATCCTCAGTCTCATGGAAGCTACTTTTGCTTCACCGATGCCTTCTATACACACACGCCTCTGTCTCTGACTCTGTCTCTGTCTGCCCCGACCTCCAGAGGAACTTCTTCCCGGGTCAAACTCCCATGCAAATTCTTCAGGGTAAGTTAGAGACTTAGGCTAAAGACTCCTTGTCGTGCTATGTGCTCCCCATCTATCCTAGGAAAATTCTGTAGAACCTCCTCCCCGTGCCGGACACAGGCCAGGGTACTTTTCTAGTTCCAACCTACCCAACAGGTGGTGTTCCTGTATACACTGTAGCAATGGAGTGGTTCCAGTTTCCTGATCAGGACTGTGTGCCTCTGTGGGGACCTCTGTTCCTAAAATTTCAGGACAGGCTTAAGCCACTGCCACTATTTCAGGGAGTTCAGTTTCCCTCAAACAACTTCACATTCAGATTAAGAACTATCCTACCAACAGCTATGAATTAGCTCAAACTTAGGTTTTTGCAATTTTGCTTTTACATGGCTAAAAGCACATTGGAGCAACATAATTTGTATATGCACACAAACCGCTGTATATATTTGCCTCTTAGGAGTATGTGCTAATTATAGCTATAAACTTATCAGATTATAGCAAACAAACACAAACTTGGTTTCTCTCTTCAGCCGTTTTAATACAAGAATTTACATTTAGTATGATACATGATCTGGCTGGTGCTTAAGGTGAGAGAGACTGCCTTGTGAGTTACTCCCGGAGCTCCCTGTTCAGTCCCTGGCATGGCACCTAGAGTTTACTAACACTCAAGAAATGTGTTAATGAGCAAATGAGCAACTGATTAAAGAACAAAGGAAGTGATTTAGTGGTCAAATCTAACAGG